GACTCGCACAGCTGGAGTGACCCGACTCGCACAGCTGGAGTGACCCGACTCGCACAGCTGGAGTGACCCGACTCGCACAGCTGGAGTGACCCGACTCGCCCAGCTGGAGTGACCCGACTCGCCCAGCTGGAGTGACCCGACTCGCCCAGCTGGAGTGACCCGACTCGCCCAGCTGGAGTGACCCGACTCGCCCAGCTGGAGTGACCCGACTCGCACAGCTTGAGTGACCCGACTCGCACAGCTGGAGTGACCCGACTCGCACAGCTGGAGTGACCCGACTCGCACAGCTGGAGTGACCCGACTCGACACGACTCGCACAGCTGGAGTGACCCGACTCGCACAGCTGGAGCGACCCGACTCGCACAGCTGGAGCGACCCGACTCGACACGACTCGCACAGCTGGAGTGACCCGACTCGCACAGCTAAAGTGACCCGACTCGACACGACTCGCACAGCTGGAGTGACCCGACTCGCACAGCTGGAGTGACCCGACTCGACCTGACTCGCACAGCTGGAGTGACCCGACTCGCACAGCTAAAGTGACCCGACTCGACACGACTCGCACAGCTGGAGTGACCCGACTCACACAGCTGGAGTGACCCAACTCGACCTGACTCGCACAGCTGGAGTGACCCGACTGGCACTCGTTGATCAGTAAAGGCAGTTTTTGAGTCACTTCCAGCAGCCCCGCCCCCTCCTGCATCACTTTTTTCTGCCCTACATGAGTCCTTCCAGCTCTTCCAGCACAGTTTCTGCACCTATTTTGGATCTAAAACCAGGCCAGGCAGCAGCTCAGGGCAGCAGCTCTTTTCTGTTCCAGACTAGTTTGTGCACTTCTCAAGCAGCTGTCAAAATAAAAACATTAAATGAACTCGACGGTGTATAAAACCAGTCGTTAAAGGCAAAACATGCCAAACAGAAGCTAAAATCAACAGAACTCATGCTAAAAACTGTAACTAAACGCAGTTGAACACAAGCTAAAATCTAAAAGCAGCTGAGCTGAAGCAAGTCTAAATTAATTCTAAAATGAGTAGAAAAGTAGCTTAAATTAGCTAAACAGATGCAAACATGAGCAAATACTTGGCTGAAATTAATAAACTGTTTATAAAATTCAGTAAATTCATGAACAAAAACAGCTAAATGTATGCTAAAGCTAAAATTAGAATAACAGAAACTACATTTTACAATATTAGCAAAACTGGTATTAAAGACAAAAACAGATGCTGCGTAAAAAATCAGCTAAACAGTGGCTAAAATTAGCAAAATTGTATTAAAAAGCTGCAAGACAAAAATAAAACTTAAATGAGCAACAACTGTTCAACCTAAATCAGAAAAACAGCTAAAGCAAAAACAAACAAAAAAGCAGTAGCAAAAAGTCAGCAAGCTAAAGTCATCGAAACAACTAGCAGCTCTGATGCTAATAATGGCAAAAACGTAGCTAAAAGCTAGAGGCAAGAAAATGATAGCTAAAAGAAGTACAGCACAAGCTAAAAACAAAATTTGAAGCAATACGTAACAAAACACTAGCTAAAACTAGAGAAAAAAAGCAAAAAAAACACAATAAAGCTAAAATTATTAAAACATGAATGAATGAATGAATGAATGAATGAATGAATTATTTGGGACAGTGTGCAATTAAAACATAATTTGATGCATTGCACCAGATTTAGCCTAAGGCTAATTTTCATCTGTACATCAACTTATTAACACAAACTCTTATTTTAACAAAACGGTAGCCAAAAGCTAATAAGTGCAGAATGATAGCAAAAAACATAGCTAAAAGTTGAAAGACAGTAACCTAAAGTAGCTAAATGGTAGCTCAGTGTAGCAAAGATTATAGCTAAAATGAGCTAAACAGCAAAACAAACAATAAAGATTAATAAATAAGTAAAAAAGCAGCTTAAATCAGAAAAATTGTAGCTATAAACAACACAACTGCATATAAAAGGAGCATAACAAATGCTACCAAGAGCAAAATCAAAATGAGCTAAAACATCCTAAAAACAAGCTAAAAACAGACATTGTAGTTAAATGGTAGCTTCAAGTAGTAAAGCATGAGCTAAAATTAGCAAAAAAATGAGCTAAAGTAACAAAACAGAAAGTTAAACTTGAATGTGGCAACACTAATATTAACACTACTAGTAGATAAAAGCTAAAAAGGAGCGCATGGTGATATTTTAAAAAGACAAAAATGTAGCTAAACTAGGARAGCAATATGAAATTAGTTATATGTCGGTAAAAGATAAAAAAAAATATGAAAACAAACTTGGCAGCTGAAGCAGATTTCATAGAGATTTACGGGAAGATATATTTTAAATAGTTAAACGAATTGAACATTATAAAAACTATCAGCTGAAGAAGACAAACATTTATATGAATGGTTAAAGAACAGAACATCAGATGATGTTAAATGAATAAAACTTTGTTTATAAAACACATAAAGTAGCTTCCTGTCTGTAGAGGTAACCC